TTTTTTATTTTAATGGTTTATCTGACTATTTTTTTTTAACCGATTTATCTGATTTTTTTATTTTTCCCCATTTATCTGATTTTTTTATTTTTCCCCATTTATCTGATTTTTTTATTTTTCCCCATTTATCTGATTTTTTTATTTTTCCCCATTTATCTGATTTTTTTATTTTTCCCCATTTATCTGATTTTTTTATTTTTCCCCATTTATCTGATTTTTTTATTTTTCCCCATTTATCTGATTTTTTTTTTTTCCCCATTTATCTGATTTTTTTTTTTTTTTTACCAATTAATCTGATTTTTTTTTTTCGTGCTTTTCCCAGAGCCCAACCTCCTCCCCGCCGACGCCCTTCAGCGCCTGGTCGTCCTGTCCCACGGTCACGGCCAAGAATGCGGTTTCATCCCCGACGTCAAGCTCCCAGTTCCGGGCAGCTCATCCCAACTGGTTTGGGAGTGCGTGGCCGGTCACAGCTTCTCCTGGGGTGTCCCCAAGGTGCCGGGGGACCCCCAAACCGGCCACCGAGGAGATGACCAACTGGGGGCCAGGGGGTGTAGCTCCCCACCCATCACCGGCTGCCGGCGGTCGCTCCGACGTGCCGGGCTGGTTGCCCAGTTGGGAACTGGGAAGGGTGAAAATGAACTGGAGGGAGCTGCTGGGTCACCCGGTGGTGATGGGGAGCGGAGGGAAGAACTTGGAGGTGATGGTGATGATGGTGGCACAGGTGAGTTCCTCCACGGCGTCTTCTCCATCCTCTTTTTCCCTTCTTGATTCCCACCTTCAGCCCTTCTCCCAGTCCCAAGCCCACCATCCCACTGGGATCGGGTCTTGCCCCAACCCCGTTGACGTCCTCCTCGCTCCAGATTTCATCCCGTAAAATAAATCTTTGGAGTTTTGATGGAGAAAAAAAAAAATAAAATAAAGGTGGAGGAGTCTCCCACCAGGGTTGTTCCTACCTCAAACAAAAAAAATCTTCTCCCTTGTGTCCTTCTCCGGGAAAAACGGAGCTGGTGGACCCCAAATTCCCAACTTTTCTGCCAAAAAATCCAACTTCCCGCAATTCTCATCCTCTCCTTGCAGCTCCCCAAGTGCCGACGGAGGCGGGAACCGCGGGAAAAGCCGACGAGAGGTGAGTTCCCACCAGGGTTGTTCCTACCTCAAACAAAAAAAATCTTCTCCCTTGTGTCCTTCTCCGGGAAAAACGGAGCTGGTGGACCCCAAATTCCCAACTTTTCTGCCAAAAAATCCAACTTCCCGCAATTCTCATCCTCTCCTTGCAGCTCCCCAAGTGCCGACGGAGGCGGGAACCGCGGGAAAAGCCGACGAGAGGTGAGTGGTGGCGTCCGCAGGTCTTTGGCCGCGTCTGTCTCATCCCTCGCGTTCTCCAACCTCCAACGTTTTAACGAAGATCTTCCCGTGATGGAACCCGTTGCGTTCCTACAGCGCGTCCGTCCCGGCGGAGAAAGCGGAGGATGAGCCACGAGAAGAGGAGGAGGAAGAGGAGGATGAGGACTTTGCCGAGGACGATGACCTCGCCTACACCGATGATCTGCGCGATGAGAACTACCAGCCGTCTCTGGACGGGTGAGGAGCGCGGGGAGATGCTGGGACTGGGACCACGGGAGAGCCAGGCTGGGGGCTCCCAGTTGTGCTGTCCCAGTCCAGATGGGTCCAGCCATGGCCAACCAATGTCCTATCACGGCCAACCACATCCAACTGATGTCCTATCATGGCCAACTATGGCCAACCCATGTCCTACCTTGTCCAACAGC